ACTTAAAATTTTTCGTCAAAACAAAAAATCCCTCGAAAAGTGCATTTCTGGTCGTTTTTGGCTAAAAATATTTCCAGAACGTCTTTTCCACCCAAAATTCACTATTTTTGGGTTGAAATCTGGGTTCGGGGCTAATAACAGCTTTAATACTATGTTAAACTAAATAAAACGAGCTACTAATCTAATTAACAACTCAAAACCAGAAAAATTAAGCCATAAAAACACCTTGAGAAATATTATGATTTTAAAATAAACGAGCGAGGCTCCGATATCGCTGTTGGGGGTTTGGTGAGTCCAACTCACCGCGAAAACAAACCCAAAACCAAGACCGCACTCGCAAGAAATAAAACCATAAACATAAATAAATTAATCGCAAGATTAAGACAAGATAATTACCTTTGGAGCGTGCTTCGCCCAAACGAAAGGGGCTCTTACTTCGAAAGCTAGCCTCGAAAATACGACGGCCTCCAACGATAGTCCACCCACAACTCGACCACCGAAAACAGTCCAATGCCTTGGAGTTAGCAAGGCCCGACCAAAACCTGAGTGATTAGTGAGTTCAAAGGTTTTCACAATGGTGATGCCTTTTTCAACTCTCACTCAAGTGATTTTCCCAATACCCCAACTTGGGTATTTATAGGAAAAATAAGAGAGTGAAAAGCTCTCCCATGAATGTGGGAGAATTTAGTTTTTCCATTTTATTTTAAAGCTAAAATAAAATTAATAATCAACAAGTGGCAAGCTCATGTGAGAGGTTAGGCGAGGATTATTTGGAGGAGGGGGGATTAAACTTGCTTCCCACTCTCTCCCTCACCTTGCGCCACTTAGCAACTCCCACTTGGGCACCAAGGAACCCAAGTGGGCTTCCAATTTTGCTGCTGCCCTTCTCCCGGCCCAGCCATCCCGCAACACAAATGCGGGTTGCTGCTCGCATTCTCTCGGCCAGCACCCATGCACTTGCGTGCGAGCTGCTGCTACCGAGAGCTGCTACTAGCTTGTCGCGCACCTAGTGCGGGCTACTAGCTGCAGCATGCTAGCACGCCACACACTAGGTACGGGCTGCTAGCTCGGCTATACCCCCTAGCACTCGGTGTTCAGATGCTAGGGGTATTTTGGTCTTTGTTTATTTATTATTATTTCATGTCTCGTCTTTTACCATTTTTCAACTCGACTTTCGACGTTCGGTTTCGACGCTTTAAGCTCGAATTCCCGACTTCTAAATATTAATTACTCGGTTGACTTATTAACTAATTCATAATTAATTCGTCGATTTGGTTCTTTAGTTGCTTGGGTGTGACCCGAAGGGTTCAATCAAGATTAAGCTGTAATATTAATTATGCATTAATAATACTGATTGGAAGCGACCTCCACCCAGGCCTTCCGATCACTTGACCTTACTAAATATGTTAGCTTTCTAATAATTATGAACCCACTAACGGAATAGTACACTTGTTCGAAGGACACCATTCCTTTCAATAGTGTAATTAGAAAAATAGGTTTAAATCTTAGAATATGAGAGAGAGAGATTCAAATGTGTTTTAGTGTATAAGAGAGGAAGATAGAATGATTTTGGTGCCCCGAAACGGAGGAAACTGGCCTTGTAGTTATAAAGAAAATGTGAGGGGTGAGGTGCGAAATCCTAGAATTGAAGCGCCTCAAAAATAAAACCCTAGAAAAATGTCATTTCACGATGAAAAATACCATGACTTGGTACAAAATTCCGTTACATGTCACAATTTGCCGCGGTGCAACAATTTTGTCGTAAAGCGGTAAATTCCAGTTTTTAACGCGTTTTTAAAACTATGATAACTTTTTATCCGTAACATGGAATAAGTGATTTAATATATAGTTGGAAAGCTTATCAAGTATACTTTCCAAATCAATTATAATCAGGTCTAAATCATTTGTATTTTTAAAGATAAGGCCGTTTTAGTGAAAGGGTGTCAGTTATGGGCCGAGTTTAGTGTTTTGCTCCTATCTTCATTGTTTTAAACCAAATTGGGCTTATGATATGCCATTTGAAATATTATTTCAAGAACTATTCAACTAAATAAAATTTGGATCAAAATTATGGGAAAAAACTCATTTTAGCTCAGTTTTGTGATATGACACAAAATGTGGAAAATAAGTTATGATTTGAGGAAATGGAATAAGAATTAGGTTGGTTTATGAAAATATATTGGATTGAATATGGATTTAAAGACTCCAAAATTAAATACTCAATCTGACCAATAATGGCAGTGATGAAAGGTTGTTCATCATCGGGTTTGGTTTTGGGAAAACATTTTTTTGTCTCTACACATGTACATACATAATAACAATCCAAATAAACATTTATATAAATTCAATTGGTCGTCAATTAATATTTGAATGACCATATATAGATCATAATATCAATATAAGAATGGATAAATATCAAAATTAAATTTTCATTAATAGTTTAATACTCATAAAAAGTAGAACAAATTGTACACAATTTTCAAAATTTTAAGCCAATAATCAATTAATATAACATCAAACCGACTGTAAAATAATTCAACAATAAATCAGAAAATATCAAACATTAATGTAATTCAACCATAATTATAGGAAAATTTTCCATAAAAAAGAATAAGAAGTCACAAATTCTTACCCAAAATCTGTAGTTATTAAGAGAAATCAAATTTTGTTGAAGATGACAGTAATAATATGAATATTTATTAGATATTAAATGCTTGACAATTAGTATGTGAATGATCATTTACTAATACACTAATGAAAATCTATTACAACGAAAGCGAACTTTCTTCAAAAATTATTTCCACAGAATACTAAATTTAAATAATCAGACGGAATATGTCAAACTAGTTAGAATAGAAAGACATTTAAACTCTATTTTCTTTTTTTTTTGTACTTATTTAATTTAATAACCACCATAAACTAATTCAACACAAGAGTACATCAAACATTAATATAATTCAAATAATATATTAAGATATTTCCTTCTATGTTTTGACAGTCATCATTTAACAATTATATCAACTTGTTAAACTGAAAAAAAAGAACAAAGAAATTAGTACCTTATCAATCAATTTGCGTTAACAATGAAGCTTTAGTAATGGGTGACATGAATAGATTATGATTACTTCTATGATGGAAAATATGAATGTTTTTAGAAAAATAAAATTAAAGATCAACATTTTTGGAGCGAGAAGTGGAGATGATGAAAATTTTTGGAGAGAAAAAATGAAGAACACAAAGTTTTTGGAGAAAGAACCATACATGGTGATTATTTATAGTTTTTTTTTTTTAAAAAAAAAATACTTATTTAGGATGGAGCTAATTATTAGTGGGGATCGAGGGGTGGGGAAAAGGGTGTAGGTATTACAACTAGGTTGTAGGCATTAATAATTACGGAATAACCTAACAAAAATATAATATATTGGCCCAAACTTACCCAGAACCCGAACCAACCCAATTTTATACCAACCCAAAATGATTCGATCCATACCTAGACCGAATAACCTAGTTACCAAAAAATGTACTACCTCCGTTTCATATATTTTGCAACTTTTGCCAAAAATAGATGCTACACATTATTTGCAACTAATGTTTTCATTCCTTTTGAGGTTGTCATTTCTCATATCTCTCTTTTCATCACATGCATACATATTTTTCTCTTTCTATCTTATACTTACAAACAAATTTTTCCTAGGATTTCGTGCACCCTTCAAAGTTACAATAAATGTGAAATAGAGGTAGTGTGTGTGTGTTTATATATATATATATATATATATATATATATATATATATATATATAACACGCAAATTACTCTCTAATAATAATTATTAAAAACATGATTTAGAGAGTAACTATCTACTTATCATAATGATAAGTAGGACCAATCACGTCGAGCCATCAACACCTATTTACTTATCATAATGATAAGTAGGGCCAATATAATCCAAAACAAAAGAGAAATACGTATTAGCAAAAATGCTAAGTACGTACTAATGCTAGATACGTAAAACAAAGTTATTTAATTAAACATGCTTTCGTAAGATTTAGCATTTGTATATAATAATTAATTAAACCTTCAGAAATAGAAATTTCACATTTAGAAATGTTTCTAATCATTCCAAAAATTATCAACACTTCAAAACCAATGACTATCCCAAAATAGATTCCAATAGAAATGGAAGATCAATGTTTCCGTAAACCATTTTTCCACCTAAGTGTGCACACATACTAAGGCCAAGCTAGTAACTCCTTCCACAGTGTTATCAAGGGGAAGGACGAGGTCATACACAACCTATAGTCTTCAATTTTATCTCCGCATAGTGGAAGTCATAAAAATCCAATATATAACTTTGATAAATCAACCTTCTAATTGGTAGTGCTCGTAGAAGAAGTATTGACTTTGGTTTTTATGTTGACTTGGAGAAGGATGCACACAGAGTAGAAAATTCTTATTTTCGGCTACTATATTCCCGGCTTGCATATTAAAATCTTTTATAAAACATAATTTTAACAAAATGATTATCGTATATAAAACTAAATAAAATTCTTTTGAGTCACTTTAAAACATAATAATATGTATTATTATTTTTTTACCAATAAAATATGACGTATTCAACTCACAACATAATTAATAATTAATAAAACGGATTTAAAGATATTATATATATATATATATTTAGGGTTAAATGACAAGTTTCTTAAAATGAGAGGGATGAGAAGGATTTAAGATACATAATTTTTCCACTAAACGTGCATATTTTTTTAAATAAAATGTGCAAAAAAAATTTGACCGAAATTCAATATGCATATTTATTGTGCATAATGTGCATAAATTTTTGTTTTCCTAGAAACTTTGCATATTTAACCATTCTCGTTCTTCTTATTTTAAGAAACTTATATATATATATATATATATATATATATATATATATATATATATATATATATATATATATATAGGATCAGGTTATAATAATAGGAACTCATTCTACTTATTTTAACCCATATAACAGGAACTAGGAACTCATGAGTATTGTCAAATCTAACAAGAAACACGCCTCAATAAACGACCAAGATCTAAACGGAACCGCGCTCAAGCAATTTCTCTCTCCTTCGACATTTTCTCTCTCCTAAAGAGTTCTCTCTCCTCAAGCGCTCTCTCTCCTCTACAAACTGGATCACCGCCAATAATCTCTTTCATCAAGCACTATTTCACTCCTCGACAAACTGGAAAACCTCCATTATTAATTGTAGAATCTATGTCTAAAACAGGTATCTCGTTTATATTTTTCTTGATTTTTTCTTATTTTAGCGACTTTTTGATGAATTTTATAGTTCGAATTTTATGAAATTTCAACCATTTTGTTGATGATTAGGTGCGAATAGTTAGGATTTTTGAATTTTAGCCTCAATAAAGTCGTTCTGATACTATATTTATACGATTTTTATAGATGAACAAAACTTACTAATCTAAATTGGATTTTATTTCTAATATGTTCAGAATAGGTTTTCGAGTTCAATGATTTCGGATTTTTTTATTTAGTTTTTTAATTTTAGGATTAATCTAATTTTATTTACAAAAGTAAATTAATTAAACTCAAAAGTAAAATGAATTAAACTATTGTTAGCATGAGTTAAAAGTAATTGTAATTATTCATAAAGTAAATGGAATGTAGTTAGATGATTACAACTTACAAGTTCTACAAATGTTAGCCATTGTTGCTGTTGTGTTGTTTGATTTAGTGGCTTCGATAGCAGGGGTTATTAGAGGAGGCTAGGGTGGAGGAAGACAGCTGCTTGTGGACTAATTTGTGCTAGTGTTAGGTTTGGTGTTAAGGATTAGCAGGTGATTAATGAGAGGATGGAATGTGTGATGTTTTGTGTAGGGTGAATTTTTATCCTAGAAGTGGCCTTGATTATAATTTCACTTAAAAGTAAATTAGATATTTTAAAAGTAGAATAAACTACTCCCAAATTAGACAATTAAATAGTGTATGGTTAAGGATCATTAATTTGAATGCAACTTTATTGTGTAAATATCTTTATAGAGAATTGATTAAATCCTAAGCTTGAATTTATTTGATGAATAAATTAAATTGGCCATGGATAAGCAACCTAAATTTCTCTTAAAGTAAACTACATATCCTTAAAAGTAAACTGTATCGCTTCTAACGCAGATAATATCGAAGTGGATTTAGATATGTTTGAGTTTTATTTTTGATTTTCCTTTTTATGTTTTAAACTTTATGGAACATTGTTTTTCTATTCGTTATGATTTCTTGCTATAATTTTCGTATTTTAACTGAAGTTTTTGGTGCTTGTGACTAGAAACGTCAGTTTTTAAGAATTTTAAGCAAAATTTTGAGTTTATTGAGAAATTATGAAGAATCTCGCTAGAACAGTTTAAAGGCCTAACTTCTCTAGGCTCGTTCTCCTTCATTACAGACGAATTTTAGGTGATTTTTTTTAATTTGGAAAATTTTTTGTCTTCTCTCTACCTATAAAATTTCAGAATTTTGTAAGTTTGTTTGCTATTAATCTGGGTTGTTTTTGTAAAACTGGTCAGCTTTGGCTCAATTTGGTATGTGCTTCTGTTTTTGTTTGTTTTTCTAAGAGTTGTGTTGAGATTTTTGCTGTGATTCCTGTGTGATTTAGGGTGTTTTAAGAGTGTTTCACTCATATAAATTGCATCCTTACTACTGCTATACTTGAGTGGTTTTTTGTTCTGATTTGTTCTATCAATTTCTGAATAGGAATAGGTCATCAACCAGTGATTGTGAAAAATATAGCTCTCTTAATGAGATTATTAATTCTATCAATATTTGATTTACAATCAGCATTACCTATTTCTAAAGAGGAGTGTGACTAAGAAAGTTGTGGTTGTCTTTTCTTCTTGTGACTTGGTAAAATTCCATTTAGAACTTTCCAAATATTATGAGGTAGACTTCTTTGATCTCCACATGCAAAGAAAAATCAGACTAAGAGAGTGACAACATTTTTTAAACTTCTGCTAAGCAGATAAAAGCATACTTTTGTGCACTGATCTTGCTGTTTGTGGACTTAAAATTCTTGTTGTGGTAGTATCTTACATGACTTAATTACTGTAATCTTAATAGAATACAGGTTATGGTTTAGTAATAGTTCTTACAGTTGAATTTTTTGTTTCTTGACTTCTTGTAGGATTGGATTGTACAGTATGATCCTCCAGTTGACCCAAAGGTACGCGACTTTACTGACTTTCTGTATAACTAGCTTCATTTGATTTGGTTAGCTGATGCGTTGGCTCTTTTAGGATATATATATATATATATATATTAAAATATATATATATATATATATATATATATATATATATATATATACTACCTTCGGTCCACTTTACTAGCAACTTTGAGGGTGATTGCAGAGGCCGAGGCAAAACTTTAAAGGGGTGAATTAGAAAAAGTAGGGGTATGTAATTAGGAGATAAAATTGGAGGGAATTGATGTGGTCCCCTTTTTAACTTTTGTAACCCATTATACTTTTGTGATAGTAGTGGGAAATTCCCACCCTTATTTCTTGGCAGTGAAAGAAAGTAGTGGGAAAATTTTTCCCCACCTTGTTTCCCTCCCAAATTTCAAATTTTTTACCAATTTCCCTCAAAATTTAAATTTACCAATTCAATTCAAACAAAATTCCCTATATAAAAGCAGGGCTTTCCTTCTAATTCCCCATTTTCAAAAGATCAGTTTTAGGGGATTGGGGAGGGGGGACGATAAATTCAAGTACGATTACATCAGAAATTAGTTTAGTAAATCCAAAATACAGGTAGCCCTAACAAATTACAACAATCTACATCTAGATTAGTTAAATCCTAATTCCTAAAGCTTTGTTAGTAGATGCAGCTTCATTAATTACAGGAATAGGCTCCGTTGAAGACCGTCTAAAAACCACCAGCTTTTCCAACTCTTGAGTTCAAGGGTTTTCACTTACCTGTGATGCCCTTTACAACTCTTACTCAAGCATTATTTCCAATGCCCTTACTTGGGTATTAATAGGAAATGATGAGCGTATGATTGTCTTTCCCACAAATGTGGGATAGTGAGATTTTCACATTTTATATTAAAGGTAAAATAAAATTATTTAAGCAAGCTAGTAATAAATCAACAAGTGTCAACTATTCATAGAGAGAAAGTGAGGACCACTTGGAGAGGGGGGATCAAACTTGCTCCCCACTCTCTTCCTCTCCATGTGCCACATGTCCTCCCTTCACAAAGCTTCCACTTATTCCTCCTTGTTCACGGCCTAGCTACCCGTGCCACGGCCCAGCTACCCACACTATGGAGATGCAGGCTGTGCTGCTTGCGGCTAGCAAGCAGCGCACTAAGAGTGCGGTCTGCTAGAATGCCGCGCACTCCGAGTGCGGGCTGCTACAGCTTTCTGCCCTTGGATGCCAAGGCTGCTAGCAATGGTGCGCTAGCACGCACCAGCCATCCTAAGCTCGGCTTGGTGCGCATGCTAGCCACCATGCTATGCATTATGCCCCTAGCACTCTGATTGCTCGGGGCTTCGATGCTAGGGGTTTGGAATTATGTTGATTTATTACTATTTGCACGTCTCGTCTTTTATTATTTTCGACTCGCCGTCCAAAAACCACCAGCCGCCACTTCATCACCAAATAATAATCATGAAAAATAAAAAAAGAGAAAAGACTCATGGAAGAGTTCATAGACGAACTAATGGATGAGGTTATTCAACTACAACAGCTCATGGAAGATGAATTGAATGAAGAACAATTCATCGAAGAAGAGTATCAATGGTTGTCAGATTCAGATGAGGAACAAGACCAACAACATGAAGATAATGATGCAGATGGCTATGATGTAGATGATGATGCAAACCATGAAGAGCTACAACACAATGTCAGAGCAACAAGAGAGATGACAGTAGAACAGAAAAGAGCAATTGTTGATGAGATTATGTTCACATGGAGGGGGACTCACTTCCAAGAGGCTTTTTAGCCAATTTGGCAAGAAAACATTCAGTGCACATATCTACAACAATAACATGGTTTCAGGTAATAAAACTATCTCTAGCACAAGGTATTGTTGTTGATGTCAATACAAAAAAATTAAGCATGACAGGACGCAAAGCAAAAGGATACACAGATGAGTTCCTGACTTCTATACCATTGTACAAAAGAACAACAGATGGGGAAAATGTTGTTGCACTGAATATACCCAAAACAGCATTGCATAGGCTAAGGCAGCAAGGCAGGCCGAGAACATTCACAAGCACAAATCACCCAGCATTGACAGAGAAGCACAAAGTGTCAAGACTTAAATGGGTTTTAAGTCTAATACATCCTGTACCAGCTGTAGGGGACCCAACATTCACTGATATGCAACAATGGATACATTTAGATGAGAAATGGTTCTACATTAATCCAGAAACAAGAACCTTCTACCTACTTCTAATAGAAGAAGATCCATATAGGGCACAACAATCAAGGAGGTTCAAGATCAAAGCAATGTTTATGGGAATTATAGGGAAGCCATTGTTTGATGATGAAAACAACATGATACACGATGGGAAATATGGTCTTTTTCCTTTTGTAAAGTATGAAATGCCCAAAAAGAAAAGCAGGAACAGTCTCGCAGGGACTCTAGAGACAAAGGCAATCTAAAGTGTCACAAAAGAGTGCATAAGGGAGATGATTCTAACACATGTCATCCCCTCAATCTATTAGAAATGGCCACAACAGCTACCAAAGGTTATGTGTACTTTTGGTAGATACAATGGATCATTTATTTGGCAGTCATGTAATCAGTCAAGTTCATATCTTTTGATATAAAAAACATTTACAAGTGAAAGTGTATATGTGTTTATTTTTTAGAACCTATCATTTCCATCAGAATGGGTGTGTTTTTAGTCAAAGCTTTAGTGAGTGTTGGTACCTCAACAAAAACCTGTGTCAGAAGGTTTATGGAGCATCCAGACCACCCAAGTAGCTATCAGATGAGTCCCATCATCATATGGAAAACCAAAAGGGATTTGCATTAACAAAAAAAGGACTCAATGCCCATGGCTTCCATGCCAACTAGGTCAAGGTTGACAAAACCAGCAAGGGAATCAGATTCAACATCCATAGTAGACCAATCAAGTGTAAATCAACTAATCCAACAAACATATAGGCAAATTTCTAAGTTCTACAGGTCAATCACATGACTTCTCCAACACCACATAACCAACAAATGCAAACCAAACCAGTATATCACCAGTAAACAACCTACATGTCCAAACATACCAGTTTTAACACAAATAAACATCAACTTTTATCAAACACTAGCATCCCAAAACAGAGAGCCAAACAAAATGAACTAGTCACAGATAATCCAACAGTCATGCAACACATTATTAGGTGAGCTAAACAACAGCACCAACAACCAACCAAACAACTTTTCAAGAAATAACTTCACAGTACAAGCATAAACAGAGAAGCTTTGAAAAAAAAATTAGGGTTTATAGAGTATACGCTGCGCATTCAATTACAAGGAGGGTTGAACTGAGGTAGTAGATCTGCAGGTAAGCCTTAATGACATCCTCTCATGTCATGCCATCCGGAGGTCCAGATTTGATGCGTTTAGCGCCGGAGGAAGGCCCCTCTTCACCGTCTTTGGACTCCGGTGGAACCACCTAAGAAACCTTCAGTTCTACTGGGGTAGACTTCGTGGTAGCAGATCCGGTGGTTGACACCTCAACCTCAGTGAACCCCAACAGAAACACCGACAGCAACCACGAAACCCTCACCCGCAGGAACCACCTTAGATGGTGGTTCATCATGGGCCACAGCCTCAGAGACAACCACCTTTGGCGTCTCCTCCTCATCGCTGACATACTCAGCGAGTTTTTCCCCCCGGATCTGCCTCCTTGCAATCACGAAAGCACGGCGAACAGGTTTCATGTTACCCGTTCCACGCTGGGGCTTGTAGGTGACGCTACCAGATCGGCGGCTAGAAGCAATGGATTCTAGGGTTTCATGGCAAGTTAGATTTTTTGTCGGTAAGAGAAGCCATTGACGGAGCTCAGTAGTTGAAACAGAGAAAGGATGAAGAGAGTAACTCACATAAAACAAACCAAAGAAGAGAGACAAAGAGAGATAGAGGATGGGAATTAGCGAGTGAGGAGAGAGAAAATAACAACTAGGGTTTATGTAGGAGAGATTTATTCTAGAGAATTTTCCAGAATAAATGAAATCCAACAAATTCATCAGATGAATTGAATGAGGAGAGGAGCATTCAATTGAGGTAGTTGGGGAGTTGTTGAATTTGAAGGGTTGGAGTATAATTTTGGTGGGAATGATTAATTTAATTAATTATTTTTGTTTTGTAATCTGATAAGGTTAGTAGTTTAATAAAGTTGAATTTTTTTTAAAAAATAATGGTAAAATGGTAAATTTCCCTAAAAAAACTTTACTAAAAAAGGAAATAAATGGGAAAGTTGCAAGTAATGTGGACCAGCCCAAAAAGGAAATAGTTGCAAGTAAAGTGGACCGGAGGTAGTATATATATATGGCTGGACGAATGGCTCGTGGGGAAGGTGCAAAGGCTAATGCTTTGCCTTTTGACTTAAACTTTAGGAACTCAATCATGAATCCTTGTGAAATATTTTGGAGACAAGCCCTAAAGACTGACTGCAAACTATGGGCGAAACCTCAGTTATGTTAAGTTCTTGGTTGTGCTAGCCTGCTAGGTTATGATAAGCCCTATGTTTTTTGAACAATTATTTGATGTTAATTTTTCTTTCCTAGGTAATTAATTGTAGACTTATAGATTAGTATTTCTACAGTATATGAGCAAAATTTAGAATTCCTTAATTAGCATAGGGGTGTTAGATTTGAACAATTTTGTGAAATAATAAAGTTTTATAGTATGCATAATACTAATTATGTGAAAGCCCACTGCTAGAATTTTATATGTTCATCAAGATTACAGTCATTACACTTTCATTTGCCAATTAAACGAGGTATTCTAATAGCATATATTTTTTTTGTTGATTCTCTTGCTATTGTTGTATATAATGAATCTAATTTTTTTGTTTATGTGTGAGGTGGTGTTGAATGTCATAGTCTTAAAGGTAGTATGAGGTATATATGAAACTATATGCAGGTGTTTAATGAAGGTAATGGAAGGAATAGTGCCCTTTGAACAAGTCTATTATTCTGATAGTGGGTTCAGAATTATTAAAAAGCTAATAAATTCACTAAGGTCAAGTGATCGAAATGCCTGGGTGGAGGCCGCTTCCGATCTGTAAAATTAATGCATAATTAATATTACAGCTTAATCTTGACTGACCCCTTCGGGTCACACCGAAGCAGTCAACGAGCCGAAGCGACGAATTAATTTGGAACGAATTAATTAGTCGATTGAGTAATATTTATTTAGACGTAGGAAATTCAAACTTAGAGTGTGAAAACCGAGCATCGGAAGTCGAGTCGAAAATAATAAAAGACGAGACCTACAAATAGTAATAAATAAACATAATTTTGAAAATACCCCTAGCATCGGAGTGCCCAAAGAAATCCGAGTGCTAGGGGCATAATGCATAGCATGGTTGTTAGCATGCGCACCAAGCCGAGCCTAGGATGGCTGGTGTGTGCTAGCACACCATTGCTAGCAGCCTCGGCATCCAAGGGCAGCAAGCTGCAGCAGCCCGCACTCAAAGTTCGTGGCATGCTAGCAGCGTGCAGCAGCAGCCCGCACTCGGAGTGCGCAGCTTGCTAGCCGCAAGCAGTAGCAGCCCATATCTCTGTAGTGCGGGTAGTTGGGCCGTGGCGCGGGCAGCTGGGCCGTGAACAAGGATGAGTAAGTGGGAGATTTGTGAAAGGGAGGACATGTGACACACGAAGAGGAAGAGAGTGGGGAGAAAGTTTGGTCCCCCTCTCTCCAAGTGGTCCTCACTTGCTCTCTCATGAATAGTTGACACTTGTTAATTTATTACTGGCTTGCCTAAATAATTTTATTTTTTGCTTTAAAATAAAATGTGAAAATCTCACTATCCCACATTGGTGGGAGAGACAATCATACTCTCATCATTTCCTATAAATACCCAAGTAAGGGTATTGGATATAATGCTTGAGTAGGAGTTGTAAAGGGCTTCACAAGTAAGTGAAATCCCTTGAACTCAAGATTTGGAAAAGGTATCACATTTAGTGAAAGCCTTTGAACTCAATTAATTGGGTTTATCAGTCAGGTCATGCTAACCCCAAGACATTGGACCTTGTCGGTAATCGTTGGTGCGGGTAGATCAACGTTAGAGGCTTCTTAAATTTGAAGCTAGCTTTCAAGTAAGAGCCCAATCGATTGGGCGAAGCACACTCCGATCCAAAGATAATCGTTTTATCTTAATCTTGTGATTAATTTAATAATGTGTATGGTTTTATTTATTGCGACTGCGGTCTTGTTTTTGGGTTTGTTTCCGCGGTGAGTTGGATTCACAAAAACCCCAACAGCGGTATCGGAGCCTCGCACGTTTATTTTTAATATCATAATATTTTTCAAGGTGTTTTTATGGCTTAATTTTTCAGGTTTTAAGTTGCTAATTAGAATAGTAGCTCGTTTTTATTCATTTTAACCTAGTATTAGAGCTGACTTTAGCTCCTGAACCCTAATTTCGACCCAAAAATAGTGAATTTTTGGTGGAAAAGGCTTTATTGAAATGGTTTTACCCTCTTAGAACTCAGTTTTAAGCTAAAAAGGACCAGAAATGCACTTTTCGAAGGGTTTTTCGTTTTAAAGAAAAATTTTAAGTCTTTCTAACCTTGAAAATTTATTGCATATTTATGGTTGTTATGTAATTGGTTTAATACATATTTTATATGCAATTTTAAACCTCTTTAGGCATGATTACTTGGTGGTAATTTGTGTTTGAAAGCTTGGTTTTATTTATCACATAATTTCAAATTAATTGCATTAAGTGTGAAATTGTTGTTCTTTGAGGCTTCTAAGTACTAAAGATTCAATCTTTAATTATGTTAAGTGATTGAAACTTTGAGTTACTACATTCCATGATTTTTTTGTTGAACTTTGTTGATTTCATCATTTTTTTAGTTGATTGGAATCATAAAGTTTGAAACTTGTGATAGAAATTTGTTTATCTTCATATTGGAAGATATAATTTTTGAAGGATTCACAAGTAATAAAGTTGGAATCTTTATTGAACTTATGTTCATTTTCCAACTCCCTTTTATTTTGTCAAAAACTCAAGATTAATTTAAATTAATTAAATTGATAGTGAGTAATTGCCCTCTTATTTTTGTTGCACCAAGTTAAACCAATTTTATTAAAGAATGTCAGCAGGTGCGCGGAGCCGGAGCCCGGCAAAATAATTTTAATTACATGCACTTGGATGATTTTTTATTTAAGTTAGACTTGTTTAAATTTTCAATTTTTCTCATGAAAATGAGTTCTAAATTAATTTAGAATTAATAAATTGTCGCGCTAAATTTGGGATTAAAATCCCAAGGCTATGGCACACAAATCGAGGCAATGCCTCCCTTGGCTAGCCGGGTTGCATAGCAGTCCGCATGTGGCCTCCAAGGGGCTGCTCGATGCGTGCGGCCATGTGCGTGGCATGCGCGCCCAGCCACAGTTGCAACGCACCAGTACCAGCCATGTGCGTGGCGTGCGTGTTGCCGCCGTATCACAGCCCGTGGCTACTATTGTGCGTGGGTGTGCGGGCATTTTAGTGGGTGTATGTGCTTGGTGTTTTGGTTTAAAGAGGCAAGTAGCCGTGGCCTTGTGTCTAGCACTTTATAACCGTAGCAATCGCTACTAGGGTGTACCTAGCTAGTGCTACGTGGGGTGGTGAAGTCACGTGTGCCAAGCCGTATAGTGCGGGGTTGTTAGACAACCTTAACTTTCATATGGCACGTATGTAGTGTGTGAACCACTTGAGTACGGATGGCTTCGTGTTTGCTTAATTTGTCGTTTAATTATTTTATTAATCTAATTTGGTTTTAATTATTTTAACAAATTTTGGAGGCTAGATTTCGGTTTTAATGAGCGACTTTTGAAAAATTTTATTTTGACAAATAATTGGGTTTTAGCGGCTTAATTAATTGGATTAATTAAGATGGTTGCGGAATTTAGTGGGAGCTTCAAATATTAATTGCGCTTATTTACATAATCAGTTAAAACAACTTTGACTAGTTTTAATTAGGCGTGTTAATTGGATTAACCACCGAGATTAGGTACTAGTTATCGAGTGTTTATGAATTATTACTTGTTTATTGTTGTAAAATGCATGGGTCATTCACAAAGAATAAATGGATGAATGGAATGTATCTTCTCTCACAAGTTTTATAAAATGGCAGCTAGTGGGGCCCGATTAGCATAGAATATACGGACTGCAATCCGTGATGTATTTTTGTAAATCTAAATACGGTCTGCGTACTGTTGAGTATTTTTATACCTTAATATTTATATTATTCCTAATCGTAGATATTAGTATTGCATAATTATGGTCAAGTCTTGAAGATGGAGGTTTTTGGAAGACAAAGCCATGAAGTTGCAAAAGAAGACCTTTTGAAGACTTGAAGAATTCAAGGGGTCATGCTAGTTGCCAATATGCATCAAAATTCTTATGCTTTGCATATTCATGATTATTTATATATGAGTTATATGTTATATGCATGTTTAGGATTTTGAATGTTGTGATGATTAATTAAGTTTACTTAAATCAAGCAACATAGAAACCTTAGGTCCATTAATATTGAGTAAAATTGCCATTCCAAAACAACACTTATCTACCTTTTGAGAGTAGTTATGGGCTACGCCAAAACGAGGCATCACTACTACTCCCTAGACTTATAAGGCATATCGAGTATGCAAGTTGGTTTTGGGTGTACTCAACGATATGAGTGATGGAGTCCTAACATGTCGTGGCAAAGTGGATAAATTGTTGAGAGAGCATTAGAAGCTACGATTTATTCAACCAAGAGTGGCTTAGAGCCATTTGCAAAATGTTGCTAACCTTGGGAGATTGAATGCTAAGACAAGCCAAAGCATGCTTAGCCACTCTTTGTTTCCTTGGATCTTAGAATCGACTTATTCTCGCCAAATGCGGACAAATTTAATGCATGGATAAGACGTTTAATAACATTGAAAATTTGCATGAATACCTTTTAATATTAAAACTTACTATGTTATTTACTTGATAAATGGTTATACTTTGCATTTATATTTGGAGAATTCCAAATAAAACTGTTTTATTTTCCATGATTGGTAAAGGAAATCTTTGAGAATGGTTCTCAAAGAAAAGTAAAGGATTTATAAAATACAATTCTCATAATATAAATGACTTTTATAACAAAGTCCGAAAGGACGGTTGGACATCATGTATTCAAAATAGTAGGTAATTTTGATAAAACATGAAGTACTTAGTTTCAAACTCAAATTGTCAATATTGACAACAAACATATATTTTCGCTTAATACATAGATGAGTAGGACTCATTGATGTAGTGATTTAAGCGTGAATTAAAGGAAAAGATGGAACTTTGTTTTACGATGCATTAGATTCTTAATTATGCCTTACAAAGTATAAAAGTCAAAGACTCTTAAAGAAATGGTTCTTAAAGATTGTGTGATAAAGTATGATAAGAAATATTGGAAACAACGAACAAAGAAAAGGAATGAGATTCCATTTTACTATAGAATTCATGTTATTTAAGTTAACTTAGCAACTCATTATCTTCACAAAGTATTGGATACTGCTTGAGTGTTTCACTTTGAAAGTGACCTCAAACTATTTAAAATAATCTAAGTTATCGACTTACAAGTTTAGAATGAAGCAAGTGGTGCTATATAAGTTGTAAGGTCGTATGCTTTGTTTAAAGACCTTTAAGCTAAGGCTGGAACAAAAAAATGGTTATTGTGTTCCATAATTAGGAATTGATCCGTTTACACATGGAAAGACTCACATTCAAAGCAATGAACAATAGTTTCAAATTTATTTGAATGGCATGGTTGTCTAAACCATAAGTCAAGAATGGTTGATTATAAACAAACATTTTCTTAACATGATAAACTGGCAAAAGCTCAAAGTCATGGGCAGGATTTGCGTTCTGAATATCTTTAGCAATGTCACACCAACAAGAACATACTCAAGGCTCTATTAGATAGGCTCTTAATAGTTCATCGATTCGGAATTGTTTTAAGACAAGCAAGTCTTACTTGTTGAAACCGACAAAGTAAAGAGCTACTGTTCTTGGTATAGA